TGTTTCTAACTGCCTGTCTGCTCATCTTGTCTCCTCGCTGGGCTGTGCTCTCCTTTAGCAGGCACCCGCACCGCCGTGTGCCACTGGGCACAGGCTTCCCCGAGAGCCTGCTGGATGAGCCCAGACACACCACGGGCAAACCGCAGCCACTAGCACGACTGAATGCGGAGAGGAGGACAGGTGCGGACACGCCGGTCACATGCTGCCATCCTCGGATCTGAATTTGGTTTGAGTTTACAGCGTTGCAGGACTAAGGTTCCATGGGACAAGTGACCATGTTAGGAGGCGACTATCCTAACGAACATCGGCGCTCGCAAAGAACATGTGCAGAGAGTAGGGGTCAGGCAGACCCCCCGATGAGGGAATGAAGGAAGACGATGTTGACAAGACTCCAATACAAAGAATGTCCTCTGTAAGGAACCACCTCCTCGGGTGCCACTGAGGACAGGCTCCGGGACGACACGCGGAAGCTGCAGCGCAATCTGCCTTCACTCACGGTGTGTGCCACGCTGTGTCCGTGGGCCCAAGCAGGGAACGGGCTGGCCTAGAATGTGCAGCCCGCACAACCTCCCTGCTCCAGAGGATGAGACGCTGAGCTTACCTGGACGGCCAGCACCGCCATCTCGTCCACAAACCTGCCCACCTGCGTGGATCCCGGGGAGCAGGCTGTATCCTACCCCCAGCGAGCCCACAGCCCCATGGTGTGTGAATGTGTACATAATGATTACATTTTATAGACTGGAAATACGAACTGAAATGCTGCTTATGTAAATTCTAAACCACCCACCATGTCCTGTTATTTATATTCCTCTTTGCAGGCCAAAATATAAATAGAAAACTCACAGAGATAAATTCTTCTCTTTGGTATTAACAACCTATTTCAAAAAGTTTTTAAGATCTCATTTTAAGCTATTTCTATCACTAACACATGTAGATGAAAATATAGAGCTATAGGATGTAAAAGTTCTCTTAAAAAAAAAAAAATGAGACCGACATAAATAACATTCCTATTCCTCACGAAGCAACGGCAATACTCTGAACCAATTACTTACTGAAAATAGGAATGGAGCCAGGCCTGTTTCTCGGCTGTCTGGATGCTGTAGGGAAGAGAGCCGCCGGCTTTTAAGAGAAAAGTAAAATGCAAATTATGAAATATAATTTGAGTTCTTTATGAAGAAAATTTATAGTAAACAGTGAGAAGGTAAAAGAAAAAAAGCAAATTTACTGCCATTACTTATCTCATGAAATACTTCTCTCTAAGAAATTGCCTTCACGCGCATTAATGAGGCCTCTCGGCGCCCTCCCTGGCGGCGCAACGGGCCAGGGTGCAGCGCTGTGAAGCCGGCCGCAGCCGCTGCAGCGCAAATTCAAATCCCGGCCAGGGGGTGACCCACACGGCGCGGCAGCCCTCTCCTGTCGCCCCGCTGCTCCCCTCAGCAGCATACTTCATCGACCTGCCTGTTCTGCGCCCCATT